AAAAACCTTTGATAACCATCCAGCACATTTTTTATTCCGATAAGAATCTACTGATAAAAGGCAAAAAAACCTTAGTCGATTCCAGCTCGAATCAGTTTCGAATTCAACTGATTCTGCTTTCAAAAATGATGGCAACAACTGCAGTTTGTAATGGTAGTCCGGTTTCATTCTCGACTGATCGATTGAGAGCGTTTGCTGATAAGATTCACGATTTGACTTCTGTACGCACGAACTCTGGCCCAAAAATGGAAAATTTTCTTGGAGCTTGCTCACCGGCTGAAATANAGTNGGCAAAGTCAAATCCCTCGTCCTTCCTAGCAACTTTTTTTTGAAATTTTTTCGCTTGTAACGCCATTTTTCAGGGATTTCGGATTTTTTTCGAATTTTTTAGCTATGATATTGGGAAAATAGACAACTTTTTGAACATTTTAATGCAATAAAAATTTTTGGTCGGAGTCCTCCTTTAAACTGAAAAAAGCAAATTTCCGTGTCCCAACAATTTGCTTAAATAGAAGCCCACCCTATAAATGCACTTTGAGCTCAATTATCTAGGTTCCCATGCGAGATATCAATACGCTGTAAACAGATAAAATGTTTGTCATAATATCAGAAATATTTTATCAGTTGACAACTTTTTGCTATCGTTTACAGAAACTGAAATAATTGATCTCGAAGTGCATCTATGGAACGCTTCTATTAGAGGGAATAGGTTTAAAAATGTAGATCAAAAAAGATTTTCAAAAATATTATATTCTAAATTTTGATCTACCTTCCTGCCGCTTCAAATTTTTTCTGTTTTACTTGTTTTTATTGATTTCAACACTTCGAGAATTTGTTTTGTCTTTTTCAGTCCCTTACCGCCCTTTTTCAAAATTCTAATTCAAAAAAAAAATCTAAAATTCGCTTTAATCTCAGCTCAACCAAAAAAACTAACCCAAAAATGATGAGATTCATAGATGGATATGAAAAATTCGAGCGTAAAAGGGATATGGAGGTGAGTTTTGATTTTTAGAAACTTTTTTTCAGCAAAAAATTCTGTGAAAGATGGCTCCCAGGCTAAGAAATATGTCCCATTTTGGCTCAAGAACTGAAAAAAAACGTGTCATAAAACTTTAACCAAATTCATCTCGGTTACTGTAAGAGATATCAAAAAGTTGTCAACTGATAAAATGTTACTGATAACATGATAAACCTTTTATTAAAGTGCAAATTTGAGGCTTTTATCAGAGAAAAACATGCTATCATTTTTAATCGAATTTATCTCGGTTTCTGTAACAGATATCAGAAAATTGTCGACTGATAAAATATTTATCATATTATCACCAATATTTTATTAGCCAACTACTTTTTGATATCTCTTACATGAACCGAGATAATTGAGCTCAAAGTTTTAATTACAGTACTCTCTCCTGCTCACTCTCACCATTGAAATCATCGTCACAATCACTGGATACTACACAAATAAAACTGAGCAATCCATGGAAGTTGTCACTGAGCTATTTCACCTCTTCTGGATTCTGAATCTCATTGTCGCCGCGTTTTTCATAATTGTCTCCGATCCAATCGTTTTTGCCACGTATCGAGCTGGATTTCGAGTGGGTATTTTGAATTTTTCTGGAATTCGAAAAGTTAGAAATTCAGAAATTTAGAAATTCAGAAATTCAGAAATTCAGAAATTCAGTAACTCAGAAATTCAGAAATTCAAAAATTCAGAAATTCAGAAATTCAGAAGTTCAGAAGTTCAGAAGTTCAAAAATTCCAAAAATTCCAAAAATTCAGAAATTCCCAAAATTCAGAAAATCAGAAATTTGGAAATTCAGAAATTCAAAAATTCAGAAATTCAGAAATTCAGAAATTCAGAAATTCAGAAATTCAGAAATTCAGAAATTCAGAAATTCAGAAATTCAGAAATTCAGAAATTCAGAAATTCAGAAATTCAGAAATTCAGAAATTCAGAAATTCAGAAATTCAGAAATTCAGAAATTCAGAAATTCAGAAATTCAGAAATTCAGAAATTCAGAAATTCAGAAATTCAGAAATTCAGAAATTCAGAAATTCAGAAATTCAGAAATTCATAAATTCAAAAATCCAGAAATTCAGAAACTCAGAAATTCAGAAATTCTGAAATTCAAAAATCCAGAAATTCAGAAATTCAGAAAATCAGAAATTCTGAAATTCAGAAATTCAGAAATTCAGAAATTCAGAAATTCTGAATATCAGAAATTCAGAAATTCAGAAATTCAGAAATTCAGAAATTCAGAAGTTCAGAAGTTCAGAAATTCCAAAAATTCCAAAAATTCAGAAATTCCAAAAATTCAGAAAATCAGAAATTTGGAAAATCAGAAATTCAGAAATTCAGAATTTCAAAATTTCAGAAATTCAGAAATTCAGAAGTTCAGAAGTTCAGAAATTCCAAAAATTCCAAAAATTCAGAAATTCCAAAAATTCAGAAAATCAGAAATTTGGAAAATCAGAAATTCAGAAACTCAGAATTTCAAAATTTCAGAAATTCAGAAATTCAGAATTTCAAAATTTCAGAAATTCAGAAATTCAGGATTTCAGAATTTCAGAATTTCTGGTTTTCCGAATTTTTGGAATTCAAAATTTCC